GCTGGCATGTGGTGCTGGAGGATTGAACCGCGGTCCCTGTGCTTTGCCAAGCTTGTTCCAAGTAGGTGCTTTAGACCACTGAGCCATCTCTCCAGCCCCTTTTTTCAACATTTTGTACAAAAGTGTTGAAAATTTTGTACACTCTTTTGTCTATATTTTGCTCATATGCTGAAACCTTGTGGAAAACAGATTAAGGGCTGCAGACTAGTCTGTTGGAGGAAATTTTAAAGTAATCCATTGTTAGATCTGTGGCTGAGAACTGCTGCTGGATTTTACCTGTATTTACTGTGAGAAGCAGGACCAAAAAAGTAGAACTGAATAATTTGAAAAATAAATGCTGGGGGCCAGAATGCAAATTTTTGTGAAGTTTGGGCCTGCCTTTCTGCTGAGAAGAGCTTGCTTGCTGAAAAGATTACCTGGAGCGAAAGGAAAGATGCCTTCAGGGTGTCAGCTCCAAGGATCAAAGGTACAAAAGTGAAAGACTTTGCTTTGAGAAAGAGAGCCCCAGGCACAGTGCCTGAGGAGGGCCATCTAGAGAACTGGTTCCCCAGGATTCAGTTCACAGTGCTCAGCCATCTAGGAAATCATAGGGCTCTGCAGCCATGATCTGAGGGGAGTCTGGCTGCTGTTCTAACTGGTTGTAGACCTTGGGGTGTCATCCATGTAGTACTGGTTTTATGGGGGTGCAGGATGTAAGAATTGTGTGGCCATGGGGTCTTTCACCCAGATTTTAGAAGACCTGGGAGGCCTGGCAGTCATCTGCCCTGAGTGCCCTCCTGAGAGGGCAGTGTGTGAAGCTGTGAGTGGAAAGGTGAAAGTCCAGCGAAGACCGCAGGGCACTGGAGTAGCCAGGAACATGGGATGTCTGTGGAAAGCTTCAAGGAGTGAACAAAGCCAGCCCAAGAGAGAGGCCTGTGACTGCAGTCAACAATGCCATAGACATGGGGCTGCCCAAGCCATTTGGAGTTTACATCTTTACCCTGTGTGCTGGACTGGAGCTATAAGTTTTAATGTTTGCCCTTGGCAACTCTTAGAGATAGACTACATGCACAGCAGTGTTTTGGGGGCCAGGGGCAGAATGTTGTGGTTTAGATTAAGAATGTTCCCAAAGGCCTCAGGTATGTCACAGGTGGGGCTTTTAGTGGGTGATTGAATCATGAAGGCGGTATAGGTGACTTACTAGGAGATGGGGTCTGGTCAGAAGAGATGTCGTTAGGGGTGTGACCTGGAATAGTATGTCTCCCTCCCAGGCTCCTTCCTCTGCATCCTGGCCACAGTGAAACGAGCAGTTTCCACTCAGGCCCTTCCACCATGCCCTTTCTGTGTTTACACCTGCAGAAGTGGACTGAAGCTTCTAAAACTGTGAGCTGAGACAAACCTCACCTTCTTTTGGTTGCAGGTATCAGGTGTTTTGACCCAGTACTAGGAAAATAAATCACTACTCAAAGCTATGCTGATCATAAGCAGAGTTCCTTGGTCTCTCCCACTTCGTGTACTTCTGCTTTTCTCTGACTCCCTCTTGTTCTCCTTGTGCTTTTCACATGTTACTTAGGGTAAGCACTCTAGCTCTTCCCCGGAAATGCTGAAGATCCTGGATTCTGTATCCCATAAAGCATTTATTGAGCCAGCCAAATAGCTCAGCGGATTAAAGCAAACAGGTGTAGAGGCTGGGAGTTTGATCCCTGGGCCTGCAGTGCTGGCCTGGCTCCTGGGGCACACTGAGACGACAGTTGAGACTGGGCGTGGTGGCACACTCCTGTAATCCCAGCTCTTGGGAGGCTGTAAACAGGTGGATCACTGTAAGTCTGATCTAGTAGTGAGAACTTGAACAGCCTGTAGACCCTTCCCTAAAAAATACCAAAAAAAAAAAAGCATTTATTTAGAAGAAAACAATACGCAGTGGTCTTGGCGGCTGTCGTAAGTGGCAGGACCTCCCGGCTCTCGCTAGGTGGCAGCATTACAAAGGACAAATTTAGCTAAAAATCCGGAGCTGCTAAATTCCTCTTTCAAGGGCAGGTGTCAGCCTGAGTTAGAGCCTGATGAATTCTGCAAGATTAATTTGGAACTTGAGCCAGTGGCCGTATCTTTCTCTTTCATCTGGACCCAAATGAGTAAGCCTTGTTGAAAGCTGAGTGTGTACCTTGGTTCCCTCATTTAGCTACTCATCCATTCCTTGGCATTTGCAAAAGGCCTTCATTGACAAAGTTTGATATTTAGAGAGATTGCACGCTCCTTGTCCACTTGGGGTCTGTTTATCTTGCCTGGGTTGCTGGAATACTTAGCTATATGTAACCTTTGAGAGTACAAGCTGGTAGGTAGCATAAAAGGCTATGGTAAGGATTCCCATTGAACAGTCCCTGAGCCGTTTTATTTCCCAAACATTTCTAAACTTCCAATAATGTTGCAAGGTAAGTATGTGTATCTTTGTTTTATAAGTGAGGTGTAAAGAGTGCTTGTTAAGGTTCAGATCTAGAATGTTGTGTTTTTCTCTCCCATCCCAAGACCTTGTGCTCAGAAGTGGGGCTTCAAAAGGGTGATTGGCTTGTGAGGATGTTGTATTCATCAATGGAGTGGAGTAGCCCATGGACGAGTTCACAACCAAGTGTAGCATTGGAGATGGAACCTGGTGGGAAGAGGTAGCCTGGAAGGGCTTATTTCCTCCAAGCCTCTCTTCTCTGCCTCTGCCTCCCCTTCTTGGGGGCCATGATGTGGACAGCTTTCCTCTCCCAACTTTTCCCTTGTGTCTCTCTGCCTTGGAACCAACTGACTGCATGAATTGTCTTAAACATGAGCCAGAATAACTCTCTCCTTTTAAGTTGTGGATGTTAGATGTAGCATCTGAGGGATAAGAAAGCTGTTGGTACCAGGAGTTGTCATGACTATACTTGGCCACGTGGTTCAGAAGTCTTTGGCAATGGCTTGTAGAAGTTTGGAAAAGTTTGGAGGTGGTAGATAGAGAAGCTCTAGAATGTTTTAAGCAAAGCTTGATGGGAGATTCTGGTTAGATCTTAGAAGACCAAAATGCTCATTGAAGTGTACAGATGACAAAGACCAGACTTAGGAAGTTTCAGAGGTAACAAGGGCTCCACAGGCAGTTGGACTCAAGACCATGTGTG